AGCCAACTGTTCTTATTGATAGTTTTCCATGGATTTCCCTCATACTAGATTTGAATGCCAGAGCACAGATCGCTGACACGGAGTGCAAGCGATCTTTCCTTCCTTTTCCTTGTCCTATCCTCACCCCTTAAACACACTTACATGCACTACACTAGCACACATGTCGGTATACCAGTTGGGAACTTATAGCTTGTCTGCTGGCTCCCACTGCTGGTGGGAGATATTTGGAAGGGGATAAACCCCGTAAGCTGACATGTTGATCGGCGACCCAGCGGGGCAAGAACACTGCCAGAGATTTTAAAAAACATTCACTCCACTTACGGCTACAACAGTTGACATGCCTGGAAACATGATCTATTCGATCAATCATTCTTCTAATATTATATCAATGTCTTTCATTTTTATGGATAACTGAGATACTAGGAATTTGAACCACTTCGTTCTGTCTAGAGGAATTCACGATCTTAAGTGATCCATTTTATTACCTATTAACAGTGATTTTGTTTGATTATATTGTAAGTTTGCAAACTGACAACACAAAACTTGATTTTATCTTTAAACCAATATTTTTGCTCATTAACACAAAATAACATATAAACCCAAATTTTAATAAGAAAATTACATACTTAAAAATCTGATCAGTAACATTAATTTAAATAAATATTTTACTTTGTTCCGAACAGATGAAGCAGCGTAAAATACATCCATGTGGTACACCGCAGCGAAAGTACATTGCTCTCCTGGCAAAAGTTCCGACTGATCCAGCCCCACATTGCGGAATATCGCCCGCGATCCGCTAAATTGTCGCCCGTTGGTGTCACTGGAAACTGTTGCCCGCTGCCTACGCCCGCGACAGCGAGGGCGACGCGGGGGCGTAGAGGCGCAACACATGTCGACATGTGGCCGCGTTTATTGCTGTCAGCGCCTCGGCCAAACCCCTCCGATCCCCGCCCCCGCCCCCGCCCCGCCTTCCAGCTTGATGCCGGCCTCCAGCTCTTGCTTAGCCTGGCGCTGACGTTTGGAACACATTCGAGATTAATATATGAACGGAAACTTCGTATTTCATAAAGCCGTCTTCTTTGCCCAATCACGTGATGTCGGCTAGCTCACAATATCTCACGGTATTTGTGGACGGACCCAGGTGCGATCTAATGGAAACTCCATATCGATTTATTTGCGTGAGTTTAGATGTGCGCGGGTTATAATTATTTTCCATGCATGAAATTTTGGACTCTCCTCAACGAATGACTCACGGTGATTCACTGAGCCGTAGGTTTCCATTTCGAGTTGGCAGAAGGATTTTGATGTTTGTGGATCGTAGTTTCACAAACCTTTTACCACGATTTGGTTTAAGTAATTTGTTTTGCCTGTTGCGAAGAAATATTCCCATAGGAATAAAAAAGTTTAACCAAATACATCGTTTCTGAGCTCGATCACTGCCCTCATAAAGGAAGCATTTGCAGAACATTTTGGGGCAACTTGTTTTGGATGAGCGCTGCTGTATTGTCAGTATTCTTAGTTGTAAGAAAACATTATCTTGCGCAATTACTGAATATGTATTCTTAAACCAGTTGAAGCTTTCTTCTGAGTATTATGGAGCAGCTCGTTAAAAGTGATTGACGCCCTTAGCGTCTAATTACTAAAAAAACGGAAAATTATTTGAACAAAATTTCTCCTATTAATTTCACTGAAATGCCATTGTTCTGCCATAGTATACAATACAGAAGTCTGTAAAAATAGCCTCAGCGCAATACGTCTCCAATACCTCTGATGAGACACTAGATTTACGATGGAATGAGGAAAATTCATATAGTTCTGGTAAACAGCCGGCCATAAAATATTCCTGTTCAAAATAGCTTCAGTAGTAAATCTCTCATTAGTTCAAATAATGTGATTTTTACTGAGAAATGAAAGAAAAAATCATAATCAGTGACTGCGCTTCTATTAGAGAAACGATAAGCGATTTCAATTGAACGAAGAGAGTTTGTTGAAAACAATGGGTCATAATTCTTCAAACACATTAATATTATTGTATTAAGAGAGTGTAGGATTTTTAAATGGTTAAAAATAAGTTATAACATTAATTTGATGATTTTCATAATATAATCTTTGTTATATTGACAAATAAATAACAAAAACATTTATTCACTTTAATAGTGTTGGGTGAATTATTGTACTTATTAGTATCGTCATACATAATAAAAATTAGAAAAGCTCATCATGTTAGTGTCTTCACAAGCATTTACATCAAGATTATAATCTTTCAATGAGTCACCCATTTTGATCAACTTTACTTAAGAAATGATACGAGTGTTACTCACCGTTATGAAAATGCTCGAGAAAGTTCTCAATTAATTTTATTTTTATACTCCATTTTAAGATACGCAATCTTCAAGAGATCAAAGATAAATAATGTGTCATAAGAAGCTATTTATAGGTTAACTTGGATATTTTTAATAGCTGTGAAGGGTGGATATTATGAATGGTGTTCCGACCGCGTACACTCACGCTTGTAATCACACACGTCCTTTCCACATGTCTGGACTTTTTCCTTCTCTTCTGTGAGTCACAGAAGACGTAGGCAGAGCGTGCAGCTATGATCTTTCTCTCTGTCGTCATCTCCAGATGATTCTGTGCTGGAAGATGCGCAAAGCGTTTGTGATGTAGTCGTCCTTGTGAGAAGCGCGAGTCGATGAGTCAAGCGTCAGGAATGCTCCAATTTTTGTAACTTCTGAGAATTATTTGATTTTGCTTAAATATCAGCAAACATCCTTAGACGTATTGTCTCAGAAGATTTTCTTGAAGAATGTGAGATAATAAAATTGAAGTGTCTAAATATTGTTTATAAAATTGAAGTGTCAAAATACCTCATCAAAATACCGACTCAATTGCCTCAATAAGTGTCTGGCTCCAGGTATGTTTGTTCGAGCAAATCTCTGTTATGGTCTTTTCACTTCATTGTTTTCTATTACACAATTATTTAAAGAAGTATATTTTTTGCTAGTTTTACACAAATCTACAACTTAATTTTGATCTGAATATAGTTTTGTACGTGTGACCTCCACGATAAAAATTACTGACTACACGCGATTTCGTAACTATTTTCATCCCCATTTCCCTTCACTGTAAAGCCGATTTAAGTGCGCACTCTTTCAGTTTTTTGCGAATACCTCGTGATAACTGTGACGAAGTATACTTATGTGGATCAAACGTTTCTGAAATTTCATTTAATTTCCCAATAAATGCATTACAACTCATTTCAATATTTTAGGCTCTGAATAATCGAAGGTCAATTTTTTTCAACGGAGAGGGGTGGTGTGTAGAGAGGGAGAAAAACACAGCAGGGGGAGCGAAGGGTGACGGTGATGGCGGTCTGGCTGAGCGGCGTGGGGCGGAGGGCAGATGGTGGGGCGGGTGAAAGAGGTGGAACGAGCAAAGGACGGCTTCGAAAGCGAAGTCGTGGAGGTGGAAATAAGAGGAATTCCATTTTACACTTTAGAAATAGAATTCGTTCCCTTTCCTGCCTAAAAAATAATAGCGACTATTCCACTCGTGAAATTAAAACCAAGTGTTTAACTATACACACAAAATTCCCTAATCAGGGCGGTGTATCTCAAAAGTTGATCGTTTGTTCTATCAGATTTTTCATACCGCTTCTCCCTTCTGACCAATCATAAATTGTGACTCATCTATCTTAGGTGGCGATGTACAACATCTATCGCTATGTTGCATTTGATTTTAACATAACTTTCAGTTATTTTCAATATTTGACGCATTTTGGATCTCTGTTGGACATAATTTCACTCGTAGAATCGTCGTTTTAAATACCACTTGTGCTTTGGAAATCCTCAGATAAATCCCCTCCTCACCTCGTGAGTCCGGAATTTATCGAAAATTTTCAAAGCATTCGTGGAATTACCGATGATAAATTCCTGGGCAACGTCCAGTAACAGTTTGCTTGTGTATTACTATAGCTGAAACTGCGTCAACGAAAATGGTTGCGTCTTCTGTGTTGCTACGTACATAATACGAAAGTAAGTCGGGCCGTGGTATTTCTCGTCTTGAGAGTGAGCGCCTGTGACAGACCCTCGTCAACAACTGGCATCTTCTGTTCGTTCCTGCGTCATCTCGGTTCGCTTTTAGGACTCCAAGAGACTTTGTGACGTAATGTGTTTTTTTCATCGCAACCTGAATACGCTAAAGCTAGGCTTGGCTTGCTACCTCCAAGGGACAGCTTACGATTCTCCTAGGAATCCTAACGTTTTTCAGTGTAATTAATGTCTTACTGGAATAAGGTCGCTTCTCAATTTGTTTACATTTCTTCACTTTCCTTCCCAGTTTTCAAATAAATCATTTTTAAAAATGTGATTTTCTTCCTTCTATCTACTTCTCGTCAATATATAACACTTATTATTATCTTTTTAGTCGTAAAAAACACCTTCCATTATTTCTTTCTTGAACATTATCACGTATTTTCCTCCTATGCATCTTCTCATAAAAACATTACTTCTTACTTCCTACATTCAGCTTGCTTATCTGCCTTTGATTCTCAGTCTTTCTTAGCTTCGTCCTCCGCTTCCACTGTGCGATTATCGAGCTTCGAAGATCGGTGTGGTGATTATGTAAGTTGCTTGCCTCTTCCCGGCCGCCGCCAGCGTCGAGTGTCGGCCGCGGCGCGCGGTATTTCTGCGCGGCCGCCAGCCAGGGGATTGTCGCCGGAGGCGGCGGCGGTGGCAGCAGGGACGGCAATGGCGCCGGCGCAAGCGCTGGTGGCGGGCGCGAGCATCGCGCCAAGGCCGCCGCTGCTTAATGGGTTCAGCAGCACGACGCTCTGCTTGCGCCCGCCCCGCACCCCTGCCACCGCCCCGCTCCGCCCGCCCGCCACCGATGAAGGTAGCGTGGTGTTGGAGAGCTGGTACTAGGAGGTTCAGGTGGGTCCCCACCACGCCCGCCTACATGAATTTAACACCCTCGTGGCAATTGATAGTCAGGAAATTCTCATGCCCCCGAATCTGTTGCCCTCCGCCCGCCTCTCCCACGCGCTCCGCCCTCGCGTTCTCCGCGCCGCTCCGTTCCCCCACCGCCCCGCTTCCAACCCCTGCCCCGTACCGCTTCACCCACCCCTACCTGCCTCTCCCCGCCACACCACGCCCTCGCGTTTCCCGCGCCACCACGCCCCGCCGCGCCCGAGCCCGCGCGGGGCGTCTCCCCTTGACCCGGGACTGGGGCCGGCGGACGGAGCTTCTTATCAGCTCTGGGCTCTGACCTGTACTCTGATAGAATGGAACGAGATGTTGAGGTTTGAAAGTGGAGGCACACTAATAAAAGCAGCGCTAAACCATTCTATTGCATTCTTTAGCGTTCTGTCATTGCAGCTATTCTGTTCTGGCCCAGTTGGTCTCAACTCTTTTGTTACAGGCGCCCCACTACCACTTGACTATGACGTCATCATAAGCGTAGTGGACGTCAACACAAGCGTAGCTGAGGTTCTTGAATACTTAAATGTCAATATTAATAATTTTGCTTGTAATTTTAATTCAACTTTTAATGTAACTTTTAACTTAAACCAGAAAAAAAGCATTCAAATTCGTATATTTAGAAAAAGTGTTCGGCGTATTCCTCACGATGGACTTGAAATCAAAATTAGAAAGCTGAGTTTACCACTTTACAAACAACAAACTAGTGTAACTACATCAGCACATCCTTTCTACCATTATTTTTAACTTTTGCAGTTTTCGAAAATTCAGAGTTCACCGGAAATGAGACCTGCGCTAACATCCTCCCTTTGCTCATTCTGCTGAAAAAGTTAAAGAAAAATATTAAAGCCGCTTTTGAAAATTTGTTTTGTAAATTTCATTCAAGCATAAATTTCTCGAGTTCTTCTAGCTTTTACAAACAAGTTCATAACATTATTTAAAGAATAATTTTTATAACATTTATTGTTGAAATCTCCATCCTCAGTTTATATTTCTGCAATGTTAATGTTTTTGTAATTTCGGGAAATTCAGAGTTCGCCAAAAATGAGATCATCCCCATTTTTTAACGTTCTTTGACGCATTGGAAGAATAAATTTAAAGAAAAAATTGTGAGTCGTTTTTGAGAAAAGAATTGTTTAAAAGTTGCTTGTAATTAACGAAACATTACGAGAAAACTCACATTCTCGAATAATTGTACCTAATCTCATTTCAAAATCTGTCTTTGAACAACAGATTTCATGAAGGAAAATTCTCTATCTTCAATATTGTAATTGTAGGAAGAAGGGAAAAAAATGAGCTTTTGTAATTTTTGAAAAATCTGAGATTTTAACGAAAATTTTTATGATATCTGAAAACAAATATTAATAAAAAGAATTGAAGCCATTAATGAGAAAAAGCAGTCCTCGGTGTTCGTTCAGGTTCATCGAGAAATATAAATTTTCAAGAAAATCGCCTGAACGATTTTTGGCACTAGCATTGACCAAAGACTGACAGACGGACAAGGGCTCAGAAAACGTGGAATCTGACTACACAACGTGTAAGACAAAGTAATTTACTACGTATTTATCCACATGTGGGCCTTGGATGTGTTATCACTTATTCCTTGTAGATATTATTGTTCTACTTTTAGAGTAATTTCTAATTTTTAATAACGAATATTAAAATTATTAAAATCAACTTACCGTACTTGAATGAACTTTACTTACCCGTACCGTAACGAACCTTACTTACGAAGTACAGAATCATGGTAAATATACTCGTAGAACATGAAATTACATTTTCAGAAACATGTTTAACTCTGTATTCACGGTGAATATTTATTGTATTGTTCCAAAATTTGTAAATACTCTCATTTCATTAGCATACAAGAGTAAAAATACACCGAACGACATGAAACAATGCTTTTTTCAATCACATTGATTGTTTTTGCTTGGATGTATTGTGCATAACTTCATCATTTGTAGAACTTCAAATGATGTGAGGAACTTTTATAAAAATCTGAGCAACTGTTTAATAAACTAAGAGGAAAAGGTTCGGTATTACACCAATTCGAAATAGTTAGCATATTGCAGATATAAAATCAGCATCAATGCCGAACAGTCACTTACATCAATACAGACCTCTTTCCCTCTAGACATCCATCTTTTCCTCTAGATAATTCAAAGGCAGACTAAAACAGCAATTAAATGCCTAGGACATGAGCGAGACACGAAACTCGCCTAGAAAGATCTCATCACGGCAACAAACAAAGCATACTTAAAAGTGAAAAATAACAGTGTCTATTCATAAACGAAATAGATTCAGGGGTCACTATTCCACACATATTATTCAACCATTCCTCGTTTACGTCTCTCCCATTTGGGGAGATTCAACACACACAAACCCCTATAAATGAGAAAAAATACAAAGCAAAATTTTTCGCCGAATACAAAACTCACCATAGTTCGTAATTAATGACCAAATTCAATGAGTAGTTGAGTAACTACAACTTAAATTAATGTACTTAAATAGCAATCGATTGCATTGCGGTATTCGGTGATATAGAAGACTGGATCCATATCCTTTTAAATCCATGTGCCATGAAACCATGGATAGAAAAATGGACATAAATGGGGAACTATTATTTTCGACATGGAAATAGTCCAGGACATATTTAGAAATAATATGTCCCACATCGTAAGGGTGGCGCTATTTCCTTTCGGCAGCTGAGGATATCGAAGTCCGGAGAAAGAATTCGTGACGTGCAAACCTGTCAGTAATCGGTTCAGAAACACTTTGATATATTGGTGCGTTCTCGTTTAATGACGACAGATTTTGCATTCTTCATGGATTTTTCCTCAGCTGTACGTACGGTTTCTTTTCGGCAACTTCGATGCAATGGAGAGACTATCTGGTGAGGATTTCATAGTATTTAGATTTTGTAATGGCTGTCGGCATAAACCCATAGTATCAGGTGATGAAGTTTACACTTGTAACATGTTTGCATTGTTGGTTAACTAAATAAAATTTAAAAACATCTTACAACAACCAAAACTCAATACTGAAACACACGCCGTACAAGGATGATAAATTGAAAAATAAAAGTCATTAATTAAAGTCATCGTGCTTTTAAATAATATTTGAATAAATGTGTAATCAGAACTACAATAGAAGTAGGTTTATTCCAATTAATATCCTCGCATAAGTTGTTTAAAGTTTCGCAAGAAAATTATTTCTACAAGTTTCAAACCACTGCACACACATTGGACCACGAAATATCATATTCTGTTATAAGAAAACGTAGCGTTTGCTTGGCCTAATTCTTGACTTCTCATCAGCTGTTGGCTTCGGGTGGCTGGAGGAGGGGCGCGGCTAAGTGCGAGCGCGATGGCCATATGAAAAGTGGGGGGCCACCGGCGCTTTATGCGCGGCCGCCGCGACTGCGACGCGCTCTGCTGAGCGCCCTGTGGAAAACGGCCAGCCACTTATTTGTACTCGTTTAGGGCCTTTGTCGCATAATCATAAATTTCCGGCGGCGCGACGTAAATCGTTGGGGTTTAGTGCAGTCGCTTGCCAAGTACAAGGTGCCGTACGAGTAGCATTTGAGGGAATCATGCTGAAAACGTCTGACCCAAACGTTTAGTGCTAGCATAAAATGATTCATTGCTCATGTCACCTTTGATAGGAACAGAGGCGTGGAGCGTATATGTTCACTGGAATTGAAAGACATGTTTCTGGTACATCGAAAACATCACTTGGAATATATGTTAATAAGATAAACATGTTTCTGCAAACAAGCATTTACATTTTCTCATACAACCAAACTTTCTATTCGAAATGCATTTACTTTTTAAAGCATTAAACAAAATTAGGGACGAATTTTGAGGCCGAAATGACGGTTCAATATTTTTTATTTAATGGGATTAGTACGATATTTGTGCTGAAGAAAACCAGTATTTCACCATCTTGACAAACTAAATTGATAGCAACAAACTGTATCTCCAATCATAAAACAAGGTTTACTTGGCACAGACAGAAGTATTTGAAGCATTGAAACATTTTATAGCATATACATATTTTAGTTTTAGTCATCTCTGGCTTTAAATCAGAGTAATATGTATATAGAAGTTGGCAATATTTATAATTACAAGGACAGTATATTTTTCATACCAAAATATATTCGACTTAAGGGCCACCTTTTAGGTTGATTACCTTGAGAGGAAGATACGCTATTTAGACTTGTGTAAACATGACAGTGAAGTTCAGTAATGTCTTTGCTCCTGCAAAGGGCAACTCGCGTGTCTGTCTAGTAATTGTGTACTTTTACAAAAAATATGTTGTAGAACTTCAACAACTATGTTCATTAGTCACGTTAGTATAGTTATTGTTTTCTCGCGGGAGGTGGCGATTTCTCCCCGATGGCTGGTGAGGTCCGGCCCCAAGCTATAGGTCGGCTTGAGAGAGGTTTCCTCCTCCAAGTATCTCCTCTCGGCGGGGCTTTGCTTCATCCGGAACAAACTCTAAGATCCCAACTAGCCTCACATGAGTGTTAGTGCAGCAAATATAATTGTAAATGTGTGTAAGGGAAGAGAACAGGAGAAGGAAGAGGAAGAGTAGATCGCGCGCTGACAGTGGTTTGTTTGTTTAGGTACTCCTCCGGCATTCGCTAGGGATTGGAAGCAGAAATCACAAAAAACTACTGATCGGAGCAGCTGGTCACTAGAATTCTCCTCCACACAGCACGTGAATTCGACCTAGCTGCGCAGCTTAGGTCGAAAATCCGCCTTTGTCGGGACTGGAAATGTAGGACCTTCCAGAGACAATGCTGTCCCTAAGCTAAACTCAGACAGACAAAACTTGCTGAGAACACAGTTTGTCAAAAATTCCACGTGGATTCGCCAAGAATCGAACAAGGGCCATGTCGTGTGAGAGCGTATGTGCCATTACCTTTTGAGTCCTCTTCCCAGATTATTTAAAAACGTTAAGTTTCAGATATTAACTGAATTGTTTACGATGGTAACCAACAGGTTATCCTTCTTACACGTCTCCAACTCTATTTCATTGATTTTATGGCAGAAAATACTAGTATGGGTCTGATATTTAGAGGTAATTATACTTGTGGGAGACAGGCCCAAGGATTATCCTAGCAATAGGAGTAACTTAACGACAAAACAATCGAGATTTATTGATTCTCACGTCTTTACAACGTGTGCAATAGTACAATGGCACTTTTAAATGCCATTGAAGCAAGCAATTTTCAAAACTACCTTGATTCTAATATGTTTCACTATAGCAAAACCTACTATTTACGCGTCTAGAAGTCAATATAATTTCTAATGGTATAAAACAGTTTTGCAGCAGAAAATGTTTTACTTGTTTTTTAAAAAGAATGGAATACTTTTGCGTAATTAATTTGTTTATTTTGTATACATTTTTTTCAATTTTTTAGTTCATTAGGCGCTATTTAGGAAATACTTTGTACTTATAATTGTTTCTAAAATTTTTATTATATTTTTATTAATTTTTTTTAAGGTGAAGTGGGTAGAGCTGTGGTGTAAGGTGTATGTGGTGCGGTGTAACTGTGTATAGACAAGAATTCATATTTAGGAGGGAGGAATTTTATGCATTTTTATATTAATAGCCTCTAAATTTGATTTCTTGACGTTCTGACGTAAGAAAGTTTGTCTTACATTCAATAAAAGGGCCTCATGGTATTTCATCATTTCGTTTCAAAATTTAGAACTTTATTCGACCCTCGTTGGAAAATCCAGAATATATATTTTTCACACTGGCTATAGTGGGTATTATGGGACACATCATAAAAAATTAGTCACATTTGGGAAACGACACAGATACACGATTATATTTTAAAAACTTTCAACTGGCATTCTTCCAAAATGAACCGACAAAAAGTTCCAAGAAATAGGTCCTTAATGCTTTCAAGCATGTCAGACTTGTAACAATATTAATCTTTACTGCTTTCTCTAGTGTTTGCACTGTCCTTTTTTCTTGTGATGTAATTTCAAATTTTCAAGCTTATTTAATTTTGATTATTATCACTATAGTTGATATTGATCCTTACTATTAATTCTTTATAGTTAAAATGTTTGGAAAGAGAAAATTATATCTCCAAACTGATTTCTAAACGACTGCGACCTACTAGGAGAGTAATATTATTGAAGAAACTGCAAATGCAAGTTTTATTCCACTCTAGAGCCTGAAGAGTGTCACATCATCTCAAAGATCAGCTAGCGTACATCTCTGGAAAGCTATTTCAATTTTGAAGCCTTGACTTTTTAAAATTCAATATTTTGAATATTCTCTTCTTCCGTTATGAAAATTCTCTTCTTCCAACTCTCAAACGCAAAAAGGGAGGGTAATTTTATTGGACGGTTTGTGCAAGTACGAGTATAACTGCAACTTTTTTTATTGCACTCTACAGCCTAAATAATTCGACAAATTTTGGTAAGTGAGGTATCTTTGGTTATATCTTTTGAGTGACTTAATATTCTTGTAAAAGCCCTGGCAAGTTTAAACGGACATAAAACTAATTATATTCACTAGTTTGATTAATAAAACGTATTAATATCGGTTACGTTATATTCTTTTATTGAAATTTCAAATCCACGAACATTTCAACCATCACTTTCGACTTATTGTATCATTCTTAGAACCTTAAAATTCACAGATTACCCATAAACATCTGACGAAATGATCAAAATGAGTTGGACACCTCGAAAGTTTTAAAAGTGCTATCTTGCAAATTTTGGAAACAAAATAATGAAACTTCACAAAATTACAAAAATCGAAGTGTAATGCGATTGGACACCTGCCAATTTTCTAAATGCTCTCTTGTCAAATTTACTCACATTTGCCTCATTATTTTGAGGCCAGTATTTTACGCAAAACTTCTCAGGTTACCCCCAAGTCTACTCAATCTTTCTAACCTACCACCATTTCAGCCTTTTCTTGCACTTTTACCTATCACCGCAAGACACTTTTAGAACCTTCAAAATGAGAGTTTGGTAACTACAACACTTTTTAAATGCGCTCTTCTGCGCATTTTTCAAACAAAATGATGGACTTCCACAACATTTCCCAAAAGTCTATCGAAGTTGGATGTTAGATTCCTTCAAATTTTCAAAATGCTCTCGTATACAATTTGTTTAAATTTTCCTTTTCACTTGCGGCGAGATTTTACCAGCAAACGCGAAGCCTTGCGAGTTCCTCTGCTCCGTTGAGCGTCGGCGAGCGAGCGAGCGGGCGTCGCGACGCCGGGCGTCTCGGCGGCGGCGGCGGCGGGCGCCTGCCGCGGGCGCGGCGCGTATATATAGCCCGACCGCGTGTTTTCAGCTCGAGCGCGGGGCGCGGAGTGGCGGCCCCAGCGGTGGCGGAGGCAGTGACGGCGGCGGCGGCGGTGGTCGGCCCAGGAAGGACAATCGCGGTAAAGTGCCAAGTTAATTTAGACTCGGAGTTAAAAATACCCCTCCCATCCGATGTTTCCTTCCACGTTACCACACCTCGCCGCCCTTCTTCGTTATTTCTCTTTTCTCGCGGTATGCGAAGTGAGCAAGGGGGAGGGCATCGCTTGTCTTCGGCGAGTTGGATCTTGCGTTTCGCTGAGGAGAGGTGTCTGGGATTTCGGAAGATTCGAGACTGTAATAGAGTGCAAAATCGATGGGCTATGAAATGAGTTATTTCTCGAACGCAATAAATTTCAGTATGTTGAACTCTACGCAATTCTTTACTTATAGGTATTGATAAATAACTCTGGAACTTCTTTTACAGAATAACACTCAATATCGGGTGTAATGAAAGAAAACGGTGAGATCCACGATGAATACAAAACCCTGAATAATCAAAAAAAAAATTATTTCGTCAAATATGGATATTGAAAGGTTAATCATTAAGAGGAATGAACAAATTATATATCGTCAAAGAAAAGTTTCACATCTAATTTTTTTTAATTCAATGAGGAAATATATTTAAAAAATATACTGTTTTTAATAAATACAATTTCATAAAGATATTTCACAAGACGGTCTATTTATAAAGTAAAACGTTTTGTCTTTTGCTAGGAAAAACGAATCCACTAAGTATAAATCCTCTTACAAAATGACACTTTTTGAAATAAATCACTTCTCTTGTATACAGATGTTATTATAATTTACAATGCTTCGATGTAGAACACTTTGAGTAATTCATATCAACTTAATAATGTAATAATTATATTTGGAGAAAGTCTCTTTCTTTTCTTCATTACAAATGGATCTCCTGTAGGAATTAATGAATAATGCAATCTCATATTCTGAAGGTTCCGTTGTAGTTAAAATGGCCTGCACTGGAGTCTTAAGTCGTGTAAATCAGATGTAGTACAAGCAAAATCGAAATTTTCTAAATGAAAATTCAGCGACCGATTTCGTTATACACTACTCTAGTTTCAGCCACAAGCGTTGAAGATACACAAGACATATTAAGAAAAAAATGAATGTAATAAAGGAGTGAAATAGCATCTTTTATAATAGGTTATCAACTCTTTGTTCCTGTACATATGGCAAAATATGAATGTATCCCCAAAAGGAAAGTTCGTTAAATGTTTAATTTTGCGTCGATGAATACATTTTGATTTTCAATACATTGAAAATATTTTCTAAATGTAGGTAGAACATGCCACTAAAAAGCTATTGGGAATGCGCGACATGCCGAAAATATTTTCTATTTAGCGTTAATACTCAACAACTACTCATATTTTTTTCAAAAAGACCATAACATCTTGTGAAGATCTAAAATTGAAGGATAAATTGCACTAATAAACAAATATCTGGATCTAATATTGGAAGTGTAAGACTATTCGAAAATAAATTTTAACTTCTCCAATTTTCAAAATTTTAGAATTTTTAATGTATTAGATGTATCAATCTTATTTTTTGTATTCGGGAAAAAGAGTTAAAGGAAAAAATTGTAGCCAGTTTTAGAAAATGTTGAAAATGTTATAGAGAGCTTCACGTAATGTACCCCCAAAATTAAATATTCTAAATTATCTCCGAAACTTCACAACGAGAACTTACTTCTGACGTATTTGTAACATTTCAGCTCAAAAGCTTTTAATATGACAGTCTTGACATATACTTTCATTCATCTATTTACACAGACATTTCAAATTTTGGGTACAAAATAAACCTGTAGGTCCTCACCATTTGAAATAATCTTACCCGCCTGTTCAAGAACACAAATAGACTTTAATCCTGATGTGTGTGCGAAGTTATATCTCAAAAGAGCGGTATTCACGGTATTTACGACCGGAAATTCGAAACTGTGTTGAAGTTATTCCAATACTTTCTAGTGTCAAAAAGTCTTCGGCCGTCGGGACTCAAACCCTAGGCCTCCTACACAAGTCCTTCTAGATACTCCTAGAAAGAAACTATAAGGTCCTTGACAATGAAGTAAAGAAATTATTTGTTCCTGTGCAACATTGATATTAGAATATCTTGAAAAGAGTTTACTCGGAATTTTAAGAAAGTGCATGCTTTGTTTCTTTTAATCCCGTGTCTGCTTAGGTGGCTCTGGGCATCAACTGAGGTCACTGCAGTGACTTGTCTAGGAGGCCTAGGGTTCGAGTCCCGACGACCGTAGAATTTTTGACACCAGCTAGAGAGCTAGGTGGAATACAGTATCTGGAGGATAATTCTAGAGGCTGGTTGCTTTGATAGGTGATTTCTTCACTCAATACCAGGCGAAAGCTGGAGTTGTACCCTAACAAACGGGTCACGCAACTTACCCCATCTTTCAACTTACTTATCCTATACTCATTTATTTCTTACAAAACTTACATTTACAAACACTATATTACCACACATGTCAGGAGGCCAGTTGGGAGATGAGAGCTTGTGCCGACTGGGGCGATGCCTCACTTGTGGAAGAAACCTGATTGGGGAAAACCCAGCAAGCCGACGTGTAGGTCGGCGACAGATCTAAAAACCTGCTGGGGAAGATCATCGCGACCTCTGGGGACATATATTCCAAACTTACGAGACAAATGATCACAGCAGTTGACGCGCCCGAAAACATGAAATACTCGATCATTGAAACCCTGCCATGGACGTTTTTGACGTTCCTCTACGAGCGGACCGCATATCCCTGAATGTACGTAAACTGCGGTTGCAATAATAACTCTATATTTTCAAAAATAGCAAAACGTTTAAGTTTTTGATCACCCTTTTACTACTATTGTTATTACTATTATTAAAGACAGTTTTTTCTTGAAATAAAATATTTTCTTCGCAATTAGTTACTTGATTCTTGTCACGTACTTTTTTGAAAACATGAGTCGTTTTGTGATATTTTTTGTTAAGTATAGACAAATTTAACAACAAAATTTTTGAAAAAATTGCTCCAAATGTATTCGTTAAACTTGAAGAGTTATAGTGCTGCATAATATATTTGCCTAATTTTCATGTAACCGTTTGCTTTTTTTAATACACAAATGCAATGTCTTAGAAATAAATTTCAAGGCATTGATACTTACATTATATTTGTGTTTCGTAACACAACAGTTTTGTAACTACATTTCTACAAATGATATTTTATGATGCTTATCGAAAACTCAAATCATTTGTGTGAAAATGAGACAAAATGTCTTACATGCAAAAATATTCAAAGCATGTTCTGAGAACTAGAGTTATTATTTACATGTCTCAGAACCAGGATTATTTATTATTAGTAAATTGTGAGATATTATTTCATTACTGAGTGCTTTCATTATTGATATTGATGAATTTTGAACCTTAAATAACTTTGTTTGCATTGTTTCTTTGGAAGCGAATGGCTTCACACTAACAGACAGACAGACGGACCGATGCAGGTTTCTCGATTACTATTTAATGATATGTAGAGTGTATTAAAGAGTACCAATGAAAAAAAATATTTTTTACAAACAACGATTTTGACCTCACAACATTTCTTTCAATTTATTTTAGCGCCTGAACATGTGACCAATGCTGGGTCCACAGAGGGTAATTTGAAATCAGTTAAATTGAAAGAAATACTCTTAATAAATTAAATTTTCACTTCTAAAGTGAAATTGTAAAATTTTTATTTTAATTTTATTGTGAGTCGCATTAATAACTGTGAGGTTTAGCGACTACTCTGCATACAGTATTTTACATGAAAAATTTCAAGATGTTTGCCGTTATTATGAACTTCGATGTAGATACAAGACGATACAGATGTAGATGAAAGACATTTACGTTGTTATAAATATTTCATCAGAAATTAATTGTTATTAAAGGAGTCAGTGATTTTATTGTCTAGATAAGATTATGCATCATAAAAATATCCATTAATAACAGGAAAGCTTTTTTTGATTTGGTGTTAGGTATACGTTAGAAGAGAATTAATGTGTTTAGGATTAAAAATGGTGTACGATAGAATTGTATTCCAAACCTTCTAAAAAGATGATATTAACGTTTAGTATGTGAATACAATAAACATAAAAATACATTCAATACACAAGAACAGATCTTCCATATCTCATACACATTTTTGCAACCGATCCATCAATTATACATCAATTTAAAATATGAGAACAATTGCAATTTCAAAGTACGGAGGAACGGGCGGGCAGATGGAATGTTAATGGTAGTATAATAATCAATATTTGAATGAACAAACAATCTTTCAATCGTCGGCACCTTTGCCATGGACGCGGCATCACCAGGACAGCCAATTAAATACCTATCTTACAATCGATTATGTTAAAATTATTGTTGCCCGTTTGGGATAATGTTCATGATTCATAGTTAATTAATAAGTTATAATTCATTACTGCAAAGAAATTGCATTGAAGCAGGTAGGTTCATGATCGTTTTGAAAGGATCCTTTATTAAATATCATTGGCAGGAGGTCTTCTATATCTCACATTACTTTTTAAGATGATCCATAAAAATAATTAACACATATGATAATAGTTTCAATTACGCATATTAATAATTCATTTAAATCTTATCTTACAATTTTTAATTTTGGAATCTTTACTTTGGTTCCAAATGAGTTCAAACTGCGAAACGTCCGTAGCCAATCACGTACCGCTAAAGGCCACTGTCGGCCTAGTGGTAGTTTTCATCATTTCAGTCGTAGAGGAGTAGTGAGTAGTGAAAGACCAATTCTGGAGCGTGTGTTTGCTTCGTGAGTGCATATTTGCTGCCGGATTGCTAAAAAGGTATGCCTCTTTGAATTTATAGATGCTTAATTATTAGATTCTAAATCGCAAAATAATATATTTATGTAATTATTCGTAAAAATTCGTGTTCATTACGTTGTTAATGTTTATTAATTATCTTGATAATCGAAGCTTTTACGTGCGGAAAAAAGTAATGGCCGCATGCCTTGTAAAATTACCAGTGGAAAAATGTTTGAAAGTTAGTTCCAAGTTGGTTCTAGACTGAGTAGTATCTTGCTGTTTAAATGTTTTCGTATTGCCATGTTTTATGATGTAGATAAGGTCTAATAGTTAAAAAAAGATTTTGTTTCTGATAAATCTTGGTTCGTGAAGATGATTACCCTAAGAGTTCAGAATGAATTTAGATCCCTGCAAGAGTGAAGGTTTTTCAGATACAATTTTATTAGTTTGTTAAGAAATTGAATTTATTAAATAGTGGAGCTCACACAACATAAATGTAAGATCGGAACCTTAATTCCTTCTTAAACAAATGTTCAAAATCCTTTCAAAATCTGATGATGATAGAAGTCGCGGAGAGTTCTGCATTGCTGATGCAACGGTTTTCTCGCTGCGCCAAGCTGCAAGGTCGTGTGAGGTCCGCATGCTGTAAATCTTGGGTACTACTTGTAATACTTATCTAGACAGGATTAGTATTGAAAACTGTTCCAAACTCTTTTTCGGAATTCCTACACTTTCTGCGAAGTAGATTACATTCCATAGCTTGAAATTTGAATCCATTCTGATACAAAGAACATGCTCGCTCAGTTTTTCTTTGTTGGATCGCCTTTTCGGTTATTGGTTGCATTTCTGAGTTTGTTCCTAATTATTTAATTTCGAATTTAGTCTTCTCCGGTGCAGCCTTTAGCCGATATAAGTAATTTCGTACCTGAAGCTTCTAGCATTCGCGATCTTAATTTCTGAACGAGCAGAATTCCGCTCCATATTTCGTAACAAAATGAATTCGTCCGAATGCAAAGGCCCTTCGTTAACCTTTTGCTTACTTTTTTCCTTCTGGAGTCCTAGAGTACGGACTTTTTCAAATAGATAAATATGCATAGCAGAAAAGATTTTTAACCAGTGTGGAAGAGGACCTGGGCGGGATAACCTTGCGGAAAAATGCAAGGACAGTTAGCAGTGAGGCGACGTTTATACAGGAGCTAAAATAAAATTTTAGTTAAATGCTTGAAAAAATGGCGACGGTTTGTATCCTAACGCGTGAATATATTACCACACTTAATGTGTAAGATGCAATAGTAAATAAAATATTGAAATAGGAATACACACTTTATGAGGTTTTTATTGCTCTAAAAATATATTTATCTGAAAAATAATTAGGAATGATTCTCAATTAAATTTAAATATATTGAAAAATTTTTTGAAAGTGATGGCACTGCAAACCCTAAAATTACATCATGGATTGTAAATAATCACTTATAAAGTTAATTACTAACATCACCTTAATAATAAAGTTCATTTTTCGGCAGAAATGTAGTATACGGTACAACCTAAAGTCGTCGTTTAAATCGGCACTTTTCGCAGTTACAACGTTAACTAGGCAGTTAGAATTCCGGAGGATTTCTTAAAGTGATGTCTTATAAAAGTGAATTGGTAATGGTGCGTTGGATAGACTCGAGGATGTTTATAGTGAACGCGAGGGCCGAACGTCCGAGCTTCGCCGTGACTTGGATCCGGGCGAGCGAAGCGAGAAAACTTGCCTTCGAAAGTAAATTGACCTTACAATGCGGCGGGGACAAAGCATATGAAGGAAGAACCATGAAAATTGCCTATCCATAAGTTTTCTTTTTCCCTTTGTCATAAAGTACTTAAAAAAACTAGCCGTCAATAAGAGGAGTGTAGTTTGTAAACACATCTGAAAATAGTTGTAATTTTGTTACTTTCCTTTAGAAAAAATAGTTGTTTACATATACACTTCTTAAACTTGAAGGGCGATGGGATTTCACAAATAATATTAAGCCTCCGCCTCTTGTTATTTTTTGCTTTCTTCAACTTGTGTGTTAGTGCGCAATCTTAACAGCAAATTGAAGAGATGCACGGCACACAGTAGTTGTGCAAAACTTCACAGCGGCCCACTACCGCTCGTACAGCTTCTGTCAAAGTTTCCTTCGAGTTTGCATAGGCCGGGGGTCCAATACGTGGGATTCAGCGCGACACAAATTATCTCCAGTGAGAGATAAGAGCTCCTACACGCCACTGGAGGTCAGTCACGAAATATCCTATTCGTACCCCTGGTCCGAAAATCTCTGCCAAAACTGTTTCTCCTTCGCAGCTAAGTTAAAATTGTTATAGGATTATAGGTCGAAAGTTTTTGAAGAAAGCTAAATTTAAAATTGGTAAAATTTATTCAGGAATTGGGTCATAATAGAATGTTTTCAAAAATGTGTTTGCAATTGATTGCGGTGTTTAAAGCATAAAATGACATTTGAAAATTAAAAATCAATTTAATTTCGCCTCAATTCAAAAATATTAATTTTCTAACATATAAATTAATCGATGTACGGAGCTATAAGAGCAAAAGATGATTACTTTAAAAAATTTTAATCCTTAAACCTGTTTAAAAATTTTTAAGTTAAGACTAAAACGTGATGAAATTACTTTACTAAATAAAGCGCGATTGTTTGTTCCAGGTGACCTCTGCCCGGTGTACGGAACTCCTGAGTGTGGAAGGACATTTGCCTTGCCTGTTCCTGAAATGCTGGCATCTCATCGCGATCGCAAGCCCTGGGGGGGAGGGTAGTTCATTGGGCGACTAAGTGGACGAACGAGAGGCAATTCTCCAGCAAATAAGTTTGTAGAAAAGTTGTAGAGGAATCTCCATTAATAGATTGTGAGAAGAAATATTTTCTTAAAAAAGTATGGGCGGTTAGCGTTAGGATGTTTAAGATCTTAAAAATTTAATTTGATAGGGCGGACTTTGCACGGTTAAGTAGGAGGTAGTAAAGTTGTAATTGTTTTTTGGCTGTTTAATTCAGGGGACAGTGGTAATAAACTTCTACACGTACTTTTAAAGATTGGGAATTTGTTTATACTGGGGGGACGATGGTTATGTACTTCTACACGAACTTAGTGATTGAGAATACGTTTGGGAATTTAAGATTCTTAATCGTGATGTGCCGATAAAAATGGCAATGAATAAACGTTTGTGTATATAGCTTGCGCACGCATTACAGTATACCAGGCGCAGAGAGGAGTCGTGTTGGGGTAAGTGCCCTGATGCAGTCTTCTGGTTTGGCGCAAGTCACGCCCCCCGTGTGGCCGGCAGGGCGCTAGCGTACGGCGTTAGTGGCTGGTGATGCCATAACCCGCATCGCAGAGGAGGTTACAAGAGGCAGATCTTCGCGTTCGGTAGTCGGAGTGGTTTGCCATATGCCAACTGAGCGCTAGATGCGCTTAGGACCTCTACATATGCGCTTCGTACGCCGAACTGTTCCTTTAGCAATCCCGTGCCTCAGTGAAATACCACACCTTCTTAAATTTAAGGCAAAAATATTCGAAAATGCCGTTGAAACGTACAGTTTCAACTGGTGGTTCGCGTTATTGGCAGCAAAGAGAATGAACAGCGATTATGAGTAAGGTATATTTTTCATGCGCGTGCAAGGTACTTACACGACGTACTGACGGATAAGCCCCGGGGTGGAGCGGGCAAAAATGTAAGATGTCGATCCGTTACCATCAAACACGGACGGTCGCAATTTTTTAATGACCATTTGATTCAACTCAGTGAGTGAAAAGTGGTGCGGTTAAGTTTTATATTTGTTAGAGTCAATTGGGTTGAATAGATAAAATGACTGGATTGAAGTATTAGACAGGATAGATAATTAGGCCCCAAATCTTTACGGGGATTATCCTATTGGATTGATGGGATCGATGTTTGATTGGAAATTTGTAGGTTCTATACGGTCGTGTGGGCATAAAAGTATATTAATTACTTTACTGTTGATCATGACGTTAAACAGGGATGTGTAGGAATGTTAATTTGAAGCGCGGCAAATTTGTTTCTAAAGTAGGGTAATTTCTGGTTAATGAGTGGTGTTACGTGCAAGTTTCGTGATGCTTTTTATATGTATTTGGGTGGAATGGGTTGTCTAGAGAAGCCGAACTGACCCAAAGCATTGCAGAACTTATAAACAAGAATGTAATAATAATATGGAAGCAGTGAAAGTGCAGTTTCATCCCAGAACTTTCCATCAATGGCGTAAAGTATACAATATAGAAGGCCAAACAATAAAAATGGTTTGTATAGCATACTTAAATTGTACGAGTTATATTTAGTAAATGTTCATAAATGTTCATAAATGTTTCAGAAACCTCTTATGCATTTATCTTCGAAGGAAAAAGATAGCATCCACCACGGGGGCAAGAATCACGCAAAGGTTTCGTGTGAAGAAATCTCCAACAAAAAAGCTCTAAAATATTGCAACAAAGGAAATTAATTCATCAGAGCTTTCGTCCAGTAAGGAAGGAGTTTCAGCAACTGAATATTCACGACGTCATATTGATCCATCAAACGAGAAATCGGGTAAGTTAATTCACCTTCAGCAAGTCAGTACTGTCGGGTCGAATTTATAATTCTATAAATAGTGATGCGTTTGTAAATAAGTATTAAAATATAAGCCCCAATATAATCAAGTTGACATCGATACGCTCACTGTAAATTTTGATAGGAACAACGGAATGGATAAATAAAATATAAACATTACAAGAAATCGGATCTAGCTGCCGTAGGTAAGGCAAACTGTTAAAGCGTTTTCCATCATATTAATTATTACCAGACTGTTGCATTTACATGCTAACACGAAAGTTCAAGAAAAGACCGTAAGCAAAAATATGAATTAATTCGCCGATATTTGTTGGGAGAAGGGGAGATGTTTTTTTTGTATGTGAGTCACTGGTAGGGAGGGTGGTGGTTGTGCGTTTTGTGTGTGTTGTGGGACGCTGGGAGGGAGGGTGGTTTTGTGTGTTGTGGGACGCTGGGAGGGAGGGTGCTTGTGTTTTGTGTGTGTTATGTGTGTTGTGAGACGCTGGGAAAGAGGGTGTTTGTGTTTTGTGTGTGTTGTGAGACGCTGGAAGGGAGGGTGTTTGTGTTTTGTGTGTGTTGTGAGACGCTGGGAGGGGAGGGTGGTTGTTGTGTTTTGTGTGTTTTGTGTGTGTTGTGGGATGCTGGGAAGGAGGGTGTTTGTGTGTGTTGTGGGACGCTGGGAGGGAGGGTGGTTGTGTGTTTTGTGTGATGTGTGTGTTGTGGGA